GTTTCAAGTTTCTACCGTAATCCTACAGTAACAGTGAGTAATGCTGGTTCGCTCTATACTGTAAATCTAAGTTGAAGCCAGCTCTACAGTATGGTGCTTAAAGCTCGGCAAAAGACCCCCTGGGAACGGAGATATTAACGATCAAACAGTGCATACATACTTTACGGACACCCTGTATAATAATCATCCATTTTTTCGACTCTTCATCAATAACAAATATTGTCCATAAACTAAAAGCTTTTGTTGTGCAGCCCTAGCTCTGTTTTTTGGGACAGGGTAGCTGCTGATCTAAACATGTACGCAAGTATTAGTAGATCAATGGTGCAACAACGGATGCACTCACCCAAAGCCTTTCTCCAATTTCATCCATGACGAACTCTTAGAGCCCTGTTCGCTCCCATTCATTCACTTCATTCACCGAAGTTACATCTTCTTTTTCGGACCGACAAGTACTTCCGTACATCATTCTGTAGATACACTCATTCCTGCTTGTATTGCAGTGTTGCACTAGAATTATGTTATCGTAAAAATCAGCGACGCAAAAGCGCACAAAGACAAACCCCATAACATAGTTGTATTGTGCTGGCCGCAAAGTCTTTTTTTGTTCAAAAGTCTTCATTATTTTCTACAGTTTCTTCGACTCCTTCATGCTCAACCACAGCTCTAGCAACACAGTAAGGTTCACCTTTCTGCAAGTTATATGTATGAAGAAATAACGTTACAAAAAGCAGATAAACTGACATACTTTTTTTTGCTGGGTGTACCCTGAAACGATAGCGCTTGCTTTTCTTCGACATTCAATCTCACTGTATAGTTCAGAAATAGTCTTTTGCCATGTTTTAAAACCTCGCGACGTTCACGACCGGCTACTGCAAACATGTCACCCACTTACTTAGATACTTAGATGGCCCGTCCTCACGTGACGTGCGGGCCCCAGTACAGAAGTCGCCATTGATCCCTGTCCCTCGCTTCGGACATCCACGATCTTCTTGGTCGTCGTCGGTGGCTGCGTCCACGAGTTCCAGGGGCAAGAATCGTATCCAGCTGATTTCTCAGCTGGTCCATCCGTTCCACGAACACGTCTGCCCATCTCGTCGGTGGTCTTTCTCGAGGACGTTTGGCTTCGCGAGGAATCCACTCAGATGTTCCTAGTGTCCATCTATCGTCCGTTTTTCTCATTATGTGACCGGCCCATCGGTGTTTCGCTTTCGCAACGTATTCCGCTGGGTCACGAAGACGGGACATTCTTCTCATATCCGTGCTGCGAAGTCCGACTAGATGTTGCTTGTGTCGGGTCATCTTCAGAAGACTGCGCGCGAGCGCTCTGTGGGTGGTCCTTAAAAGCAGCGGCTCGGCAGAATAGACCTACATTAAATTTTGACACAGATGGATAGGAGGCTCTCCAAGTGAACCAAAAGAGCAACTCCGGGCCGAAAATGTGAATTCTGCAAGCCAGGGGGCGGCCCAAGCGTCGCTCCCCTTCCTCCTTTCGCTCCCCTAACACCTTGTTCGGACGAGTAATCTCCGCTAGACGGCGCGGGACCCCTCAACCGCTTTCCCGCATTGCGCATGCTATACAAAGCCAAAATTACAGGCAGCAGGGTCTTCGTGCCAGGTCCTCCCGACTCTCTTTTGAAAAATTCTCGTCCGCTGCCTTTTGGAAATTGAAAAAAAAACGCCCCGAAAAAGGCTTTTCACCCCCTTTTAAAGCTCAGATTCGGGATCTACGGGTCGAGAAGGCCCAAAGCATGCAAAAAGATGGAAGTGCAAAATCTGCCGAGCCGCTGCCTTTAAAGCTTTCGACGTGGCTACGGTGTCGGCCCAAGTCTCAGCTGCGTAGCAGAGCGCTGGGAGAACGGTTGAGTCGAACAGGTGGGCACGAAGCTCCGGGTCCGTCAATTGGTCAGTGGCTTCCTTCAGAGGCCCGAAGGCGGCCCAGGCTGCTCTTCTTCTAATGTTAAGTTCTTCCCTCAAGTCGTTCTCCATGTTCATCGAACGTCCGAGATACACGTAAGAAGACGTCTCCATGATAGGGGTGCCTTCCAGTTCCATTTTTGCATCTTCGCAGAGGGCGTTCTTCATGAACTGAGTCTTCTTCCGATTTATTCGCAGTCCGATCTTCTTCCCTACTTCGTTTAGTTCCTTTAGCATCGCCTCTGCTTCAGTGATACTGCTCGAAAAAGGGACGATGTCATCCGCAAAACGAAGGTTGGATAGGAATCTCCCATCAACTCGTATGCCTCTCTCTTCCCAGTCTAGTAACTTCATCACCCACTGCAAGGCCGCGGTGAACAGCTTCGGCGAAATAGTGTCGCCTTGTCGAACCCCCTTCCCAATTGGAATGGTTAGGGGGCGATGGAATAGCTGCATCGTTGTTGTACAGTCCTTGTAGCAGTCGCCTAGTGTCCTCACGTAAGCTGGTTCCACTCCTTGATCGACTGGCGCAGACAGGATGGCGTTGGTTTCGACGCTGTCAAAGGCTTTCTCGTAGTCGACGAAGGTTAGGACGAGAGGCAGTCGGTACTCCCGGCAGACTTCTATGAACCTCGAAACCGTCTGGATGTGGTCCATGCAGCTGAATCCTTTGCGAAATCCAGCTTGTTCTTGGGGTTGGGCCTCATCCAGTGTCCTAGATATGCGTGCGAGGATAATTTTCGTGAAAAGCTTGTACAGCACACTCAGCAGGCATAATGGACGGTAATTTCGAAGATCTTCCCGTTCACCCTTCTTAAAAAGAAGGACGGTTCTTGACGTTCTCCACTGGTCGGGAATCCTCTCCTTCTGAAGGTAAGATGTCAGGTGCGACGCGAGAATCTCGTGTAGACGTTGTCCTCCGGCTCGCAGAAATTCGACGGAAAGATGGTCTGGTCCTGGAGCCGTGGATGTTTTCATGATCTGAATCGCCGTGCGCACTTCAGCAGGTAGAATTCGTGGTGCTACTTTTCCAGTGGGAACAACGGGCATCGGCACGGGTGTTGATGAGCGGAAGAGGTTGGTATAGAAGTTCTTCGTGATAGGTTCCATCTTGTATCGGAAAGAAGTCGGAGTCCCGTCTTCGTTTAATAGTGCAGCCAGCGGTACGTGATATTCACAGAGGTCCCTTCGGCATTTCTCAAGACTTCGTCTTTCTTCGGCTGCTTCCAGTATCTTGCCTGTACTTCCTGAGATCCTCCTGCAAAGCTTTTCTGCAACTGGCGTTGGCTATCAGTCGCTCGAAATGGGTTGCATTCGGATCCTGCCTCAGAAATCTTCTTCTTTCGAGCAATTCCTTGGTGGTCTTCGATATACGTTCCAAGTTCTTCTCAGAAGTCACTGAGGCACATTCTCCGCAGGCTCGCAATCCTTTCAGAAGCCGGTCGTAGTCGTACGTTGGGTCCTCCTCGATGGGCCAGTCACATCTTGATGTGAGCTCCTCCAGCCTGTTACCGTCGTAAACGACTTCCTTCCTTCTCGCGGCACTGTGACAGACTTTCTTTTCCAGCCTTCGGCTGAGTCGTATCTTCGCTCGAAGGAGGCGGTGATCGGAGCCACTGCAGAAGGATGGAACTACTGAGACATCGAGCAAGCTCCACCTTCGGTTGGCGAGAATGTGGTCGATTTCCGCGTGAGTCGTTCCGTTGGGTGATTCCCATGTCCACCGGCGATGTTCTTTCTTCATGAAGATGGAATTTCCATGGAAAAGTCGTGCGGCGGAGAGAACCCCAACAAGACGGTTGCCGTTTTCGTTCCGGAGCCCATATCCAAACTTCCCGATCCTATATTGCTTTTCTAGTGGAATCCCGATTTTCGCATTGAAGTCGCCCACAACATACTTGTAGAAGGACTTTTCGTTGCGGACGACCACCTCCACGTCTTCGTAGAAAGCATCTAGTTCTGAGTCGTCAGCTGCTGATGTTGGAGAGTAGCAGTTGATGATGCTGATGGTCTTCTGACGTGGAGGGCGTAGTCGTAGGATGGCTAGTCGTGATAGGATCTCGTGCGAATCGACAAGATGGACGATAGATGGGTGGACGACAAAGCCAACACCTCGCACGTTTCGCGATGGAACCTTCTCACCACGAATGATGAGTGTTCCATCATTCATCTGTCGCACGTCCTTCTTCCTGGACTTCGTTTCTTGCAGAGCGATGATGTGGTACTTGATGTGCTCTGCAGCGTCGAGAAGAGCGTGGAGGTCGGCGTTTGTGGAGACTGTCCTAGCGTTGTAGGTGCAGAGCATGAGGCAGTCTCCGTGGCGTGTCGTCCGGGCGTGTCGTTTTTGTCCAATCCAAAAGGCGCCCTGAGGACCCTGACATCAGTCTTGCTACCACCCGGCGCCGTAGGCGGGATCCGATGTACAGGGTTTCTTTCTATTCTTCTAATTGGTAGAGTAATGAAATTTTTCCCCTACAAGAGCAGACTTACTAGGCCAACTCTTGATTTCACTGGGCGATCGCTGACCCCGGGCTTGGAGCGGGGAGAACCGCCTAGCGACCTGAAAACCAGACGGCGGCGGATCTGGCCTGGCCGGCGCAAACATGTCAAATCCTTGTAAATCGATAGCGAAGGCTTGTAAATGAATGAGTAACAAAATGCTTAAAATATTAAAAGCATCGAGTCCGTCACTCACCTGGTCCAAGTCGTTGCTCTATAAACTTATTGAAAGCAATAAGAGCTTTTATCATACTTTTACGAGAGCTTACACTAACCCTTCTGTTTTTAAGGGCCTCATATATGCCACAATTTCGCACGAATAGATTGCATCGTCCGTGTTACTGTTATGGTTTGTTCTGGAAATACGGAATGCCAAAAAAAGCTTCTTAATTTGCGACACAACGCACCGTTTTCGCACTCTCATAGCTGCGAGCATAAACCGATTTATACAGGCCACGTAACCCCATGTACCGTTTTTCAACGGATTGCCTTTTCTTGCCAATGCATCCGGCTAAACAAAGACGAAATTCGAGTTAGCGCATGTTCGCTAACATATAGACGGCTTCAACATAGTGTTTACCAGTGCTTCAGAAATGTTCTTCAAATTCTTTAAGCAACGTATGCTTCCTCCCATCCAATTTACGATAATACTTAAATTCGATGTCCACTTTTTCCTGCCGTTCTGAATTATTAGGTGCAGTAATTTAATACTCATGGCATAATTCACGAGTAATAGTCAATGTTTACTTTTCTTTTGTTTCTTTGGCACAATGTAGTCCTTTTTATAGTATCCCGGTGCTTGATCATCCATTTCATGACAGAAGATAAGTTCGACATTTGCTGCAGTTTTGAACACTGTATCCACTGGTCCACCTATAACATTCATATAAAAGTTATTCGTATGTGATTTTCTTAATTCCTTAAATTGCCTCTTGAATTTTAATTCAAATTTCAACTTTTGAAAGCCTCGTCTCCAAGCTGCGTGTAGCAAGTGGACGTTGTTGCTTTTGGCGTAGCCGTTCGTGAAGTACCTTGCTTCGCTGCTTTACTAGCCTCGAAACTTTGTATAGCTTGAGACTTCGGTGTGGATTCAGCTTGCATCACATCAATCGCACTACTCTCTCTTTCTAGGGCATCTTCTTCTTTGTGATCATAAGATGTACCAGGTTCTTCTTCACGCTGCATCGCGTCTCTTAACTTTAGTTTGCGCCCCATCTGCAGAATATTTGTATAAATTATCACACGTATATATGTCAAGTATTTGTCGTTAAATATGCTTATTTCTTCGAGATTTTCTTCTAGTCATTGCATGCCCAAGTTCATTTCAGCACTAAGAGCATACTTGCCCTGTATCGGTCACATGCGAGTGCTTCTTTCAATCGCTTGTATGTAATTAGCTTTGGAGATTGAGATAAAGAAAATCTCTTGACAGATTATAACAAAAAAATTTGTTGGTGCTTGAACCAGCCCGCAACTCGTGACTAAGTGTGTCCGTTGCTTGTGACCAAGTGTGTCGAATAACAATTTAACGATGCTTTCGGAGCTTTCAGATCATTTTGCCAGTCGACGTGGAGGAAGTCTTTGTTTAATCACGCAACAATCATTAAATTACCCCAGTCGCATTGCCATCAATCAAATTTTGCAATGCTCAAACCGAATTGAATTTTTGAAATATAGTGCTCAAGACTATTTTGATACCGAAAAGTTTGATGTCAAAAAATCGTATGTTTTTCAAATAATGTATCGCAGATGCAAATACTTATTTCGCTCAAGACTTGATGAAAAAACGCCCAAAATTCTTTTTTTTTGATAACATGCTGTGAATTTATGTCTAAACATGTAAATGCAAGCCCACGCTATAATCATCGTGCATGATGCTTGTTTTGAACTCACAGCAGACACGGTAAAACAAACTGGCTTTTTGCGCTACAAAAGCGAGCAGCAACTTCCTTTAGTACTCATAGTTTTCATTTTTTTAAAGCCATTAGATCACATGCGTTTTTGTATGCTTCATGATTCGGAACTCCATTCTGATCATCTTCGTCTGTATAACTGGTTACGGCAAATGTTTCGTTAACGTCTTTCAGCCAGATTTTTAGCCGATTATGATTTCTGAAGTGAATCATTGATTTGATGACAATACTTTTATCCAGAGGAGTTAAGTGGTGTTTTTTTAGTGACGCAAAGAATAATTACTGGATCATCTGTTTAGTGTCATTGAGAATCATCTACGGCAAGCTCCTTAGCGATTGCTAAGAGATTGCATCGAAAATTTGTTTCGATGACGTCTTAATCATTTTTGCTTCTCTACTGTACAGCACAGCATAATGTGTGCTCAAACCCTTTGCTATCACTTTGAAGGGCAGTAATCACATGAGATGAAGGTGAATTACTTTACTTTCAGGCCTTTGAGGAAGGCACTGATGCCGAAACGTTAGGCCGAATAAAGTATGTATCGTATCTATCATACCTGCTTTGGAAAAGAAAGCTCTGAAATATACTGAACATGCCCAGGTTTTATAAACAGACAGCCTATGAGATACTTCGTGAAGTATAGCCACATTTGTTCTCATTAGTCAAAGAAATTCTAGCACTTCGCCAGAAAGTAACAGTCACGTGACAGCCTCTCATCTTCTTCAGAAGATGCCGTGCCATGACCATTGCTCCGAAGTTCATCACAAACAATGGAGCAGGAGTTACATGCAACCTGCCCAGAAGATCATCCAAAAATAAAAAAGTTATACCAGAATGTCTCTGCCGTGGTTATCAAGCAGAAATAAAATTTGTTATAATCCTCTCTACTCAAATATGAAACGAGGGAAGGAGCATGTAGACGATTAATGAACAACGAAAGCTGAAAGAGGATTAAGAGAAAGTCCAAGCAAATCTGCGCTGGTATGCGGTCTAACATCAAATTCACACTTTATAAAAATTCGAGAGACTTTTGAGTGAACAAAATAAAACCCACAAAACACGTTGCGCGCCTGTCACAAATACATGATCCGGTCAATTATCAGGTGCATCAACGGCCCAATTGACAGGATTTCATGGTTTCGCAACAAAACTATCGGCCACTTCTCGAAAAAAATTCCCTCCCATCTGATAAACACTAGACATTTCTTGACCGACTGCGACGTAAATTTTGACTAAAGTTGCATCATCGGGTCATTACACGTGTCGTCGTTGTACACCAATGTCTCCAACAGCGAAGCACTAGAGGCTCTTTCCGAGATGCTTGATGAGCACAGTGCAAGTATGTCGACGTATGGACTCAGTTAGGCGCGACTCATAACTCTCTAAGGGGAGGGTCTCAAGTGCAATTAACAAGTGTTCTGGAGACTTCTGTTCACAGGTAAGAGGATGTCAATGGGTCAGCATTAGTGCCCGTGCTGCTAGATGCTTTATGAGCAAAATAGAGAAGCCGGTGTTATCTAGAAGACTACTTATGTAGTGCAGATACATAGACGGTCGTTAATTACATCAACTCAGTTCGAAATGGACTAGTGTTTTGCAGTATTAAATCAACAATCCCAGTACATAAAATTCACCAGAGAGAGACCAAACGAAGGTTGGTTACCCTATCTCAACACACAACTGATGTTGGCCGGTAATACGATACATATACGGTAGCTGTAGACAGCTGTAAGAACATCCTTTTACATGCCAAGTCCGCCCACCCGATTGCCGTTAAACGTGCTATCTTGCATAGTATGTTCCGAACGGCGACTAACATCTGCAGTGGTGAGAGTGAACGACAGAAGTCTGGAGTGCTGGCGTCCGCGACAGCAGCCTCAAACGGCTACTGTTCGGCCAGGTCCACACGTATTCGAAGGGCAACTGCACAATCTGATGACGATCTAACATAATTCCTCTCTGCTTACCATTCGTCTCAGACAGGGTAACACACGCACTACGAAGTCGTTAGATGCGAGCGCAGCTGAAACGTGATGTCGTCCTCGCCAATATACCGCGGAATAACATCAGAAATTGACTCATACGTCATAGATTATACGATATCGCCTGCACGTTCAAATGCTGCGTTATTTGCCCTTACGGAAAACAGGGAGACTGTGTAAGAACTGGAGCAGTATACGGGCTTGAATGCCTAGACTGCCACGCTACCTATATTGGCGAGAACGGGCGGCCACACTATTACGCGTACACGAACATCTAACGAGTAAAAGGGAAAGCATAACAGCCCGTTAGGAAAAAAACAAGAAAGTTGATCACTGCGAAAATGTTTTCATGTTGAGTGTACAGTCTTAGCTTTAAAAGTAGAATATTCGCTCGCAGAGAGTTGGCAGCGTCATTCATTCTATCAAGGGAACCCAAAATGAATGGCAAAAATGAACAATACTCTATTACAAGTGACCTCATGCTTCTACCGTAGTGCCAGCTATAACGCCCACATTATATAAGCAGATCCTTAGTAGGACTGCCTTCATACTTCCATCATCTGTACGTGAAGCTAAGCACCGCCGTCGCAGCGTGTTGCAGGGCTTGGCAGGAGGTTGCATTTTGGGATTTCAGCCCAAAATTTTTACGACTTCCTCATTGACCTCTATTTTTGACCCGTCATTTTGTGACGGACAGGTACATGCAAACAAAAAGGACTCAGCGCTTACTTTGAACTTCAAAACACCTCACAAACTTCTCCACTGACTTTGGTGAATTTTGGACTTTTCGCTTGCCCTGCTGTAACCATAACTTTGTTCAGTATGCTTTTCCAAATTCTACAACCTGCATAAATATACATTAGATTCTATTCGAAAAAGCGTGATACCCAAAAAAACGCAAAATTTCACAATAAAGCAGAAATTATCTTTGAAACTGCTCGTAATGTGACGAAAAGTGGAGACAGAGATAGGTAAAAAGTAATATCACTTTATTCAATTCAACAAAAACACAATTCACTACATTGAGTTGGGGGAGCCCTAAAAAAATAGAACGCCAACCAATGTAGCGTCGTTTAGGAGATCGGCTTTACCGTGGCCTCTTTTTAAAAAGGAAAACCGAGGCTACATGGCTTAACATCGCTGGCTAAACAGCGGGAATTCATTGAAGTTAGTTTCTTGTATTCTCACATACCAGTTGAGGTCGAGTGCGGTGATCAGTGGTGTTCTAAAAACATGGTTGAAAAGACTTATACGCAGGCCTCTTTGCGCTTTCCATTCTTTTGAAACTAACCTATGACATGCTTTGCCAAGATCTTTATTGGAAGAGTCACGACTGCGTAAACGTGTAAGAGACATGACAGCAAGCAATCATAAATCGTCCACTTGAAAGTAAGCAAGAGCCTGCAATAAGATTTCACACGCTCCTATATCTTTGACACAGAAACAGAGGAAGAGATAGAGAGGAGAGAGAGAGAAAGGAAAGGAGTGGGAGGGAGGGAAAGAGAAACTCGTTTACTAAATTCTTGTGTAAAAAAAAGAGGTATGGGCCACGTTATTTCACTTAACTCTAAATATTTTGCTCCATTCCATTACGTTTCGTTACTGGAACACCACATCGTCGCTAGGGACGATGCTGAAAGCTTGCGTGGGATGGACAATAATAGATCTGCAATAGTGACGAAGCTGCCATCTCAAAATATTGGGCAAAAAAGTATGCAGCAACAGTAAATTTGAATGAATCCATATCTGCGCAGCATGTCTGAAGCTGCCTAGCCACTAAGACGCTACGTTTTACAAAGAATTTAAGAAATTATAGTGCTCAAAATCTTGTATGGTACTGATAGGTAGGTCTCAAGTGAGCTATCGCCTAAACAGCAGCTAAATTATTGGTAAGAAATTTTTGTACCCACTTTGGCCCAAATGGTACCTCTTCTGCAAAACCATTGTGAGCTGCCGCTTAGACTGATAGCTACTCTCAATCAGCATCCATCTAAGAAGCCCAAGCATTACTTGGCTGAAGGGTCTACGAAAGCCTTCACAAAACAAATGAAATCTTGTCAGGAAATCCGCAAGCAATCAAGGAAAAGTCAGCTAGATGAAAACTTTAGCAAATAGCTACTCACCTCGGAGTAAAAGCATACGTAGATTTTTACAGAAGTGAGCTGCAACGATGAGCTTTGCATCAGTACTTGTGTATGCAACGTAGCAGGGCTCACTTAGCATCTAACTCGATATCACACTTTGCCATTTTCGGACCTGTAAAGAACATAAACAAAACTGAAACTTGTGACAAAGAAAGTCCTAAACATCAAATTTCCCATCATCTTAGTCTAGATAACAGCGTAACAAATCATCCACCGTCACTTACAGATTTGGAACAAAAAACAGGCCTCATTCTTCATTCCATCATTGTGTTCTCCAGCTTTGGACGCCTCTTCAGTTTTTTTCCTTCTCGCGCAGTGCAGTTTGCCTCTGCTCAATCAGAAATCTGAAATGGAAAGATGACAAAGATTGAAATCACCAAAAGAAGGAGTACGAGCATAGCGTTGAAATGTGAAACCAGAATTCAGTATAAAGATTTGAAGTCTTGTGACAGTCTAACGAGGGTCTTTGCCGGTCTAACGAGGGAAGTACTTTTAATGGCCGTGGCTATTTGATATGAGATGCATACCATCTGAAGCAGCTTCGAACGCTGATTTCAAATCTTCCTTTCGTTTCTGCGGAACGCTCTTCTGAAGAGAGTTATGGAACCCTGAACATTCTATTTTGGGGGCGCTCTTTGAGTTTAAGTCAACAAAGTGTATGCACCACGAAAGTATTGGAGTCGCAAGAAAACTAGCCGACTGGATCTTGTAAACTACACAGTGACCGAAAACGGAGAAACTTTGGAGCTTTGGTTCAATTTTGTTATTCATTTACAACAGTGCAAACAACACTGTTCGAGTTGTACTCGAAGAATACGTCTTATTCGACCCATTCGACCGACTGCATCAATCAGTAGAAATCACAGCCCCGAAGCTCAAGATAGCGCCCTCCAGCTGATGCAAATGATTAGAGACAAGAACAAACTCTTTTTTGAAATAGCAAGGGTAATGGATCGCATAGTAGACGCTTCTTCGATCCTAGGTGCATATGTCATGATGAAAATTGATGACAAATGTTTTATTTCTGTTCTCTAGCGATCTTATAAAGGACTACAGTCATGAATGTTAAACTTTGTTCTTTGCCCTATTCTAGCTGAGGTTTGTATCCATGATACTTCTTTGCATTAGCTCCCCTACTCCCTCCGGTCTTACTTTATATGTGGTCAGATTCACATGTTCTCGCGCAACAGCAGCCCTTATTCCTCCGCCAGAGGTCGGACTTCGGTTTCTCGTCCAAAAGCAATCTCGAAAGTCCCTCGTCAAACTGCAACTCTCAAAGTTTTGCCACAGATCGCGAGCCCAAGAGTGCCATTAAAAGCGATCTCAAAGCAAGCTGTGTAAGCTATTTAATACAAAAGCTTCTCCACCGCTCAGCTGCTAAATCACAGGAGTCGAAGATTGATTTTGGAGGAGCCAAACGCATCGCAAGCCACTTCGACAGCCGTACGACAGGAGCACATCGTAACTCAGGAGGAGCAAATACCACCCGGTCGGAAACGTTTTCAAAGTTGTGATCAGTGGATGTCTTAATTTAAGGAAGCGCATACGAGCGGCGGGAATTCGTCTTTGAAGAGAATTCGATGCAAATGGAAGAACTTCCGGAGTTGCCGTCATCGCTATTTGATTGTGTAGCAAATGGGGAACTACGCATGGAACTAGCTGCGAAACTGATGCTGCATCGCACTAATAGTGGGACATTTAATTACGCTGCGTACGATGTACGTATTTCATGGTGATAGATAGTGAATCATGCAATAAGAGTTTGCTCAGGAATTTGTCAGCTCAAATGTGGCTGCACGAGCGGTTTCGCGCTACGATGGATTGGACGGTTTTGAGGCTTCACATATAGTAGGCTGCAATTTCATGGCGATGAGACTCTTAGTAAGTTCCAGAAACAGATGTATAAACATTTGATGTATAAACAAGCAGGATAAAACATGTTAGGGCCGACATCGGGAAAGCCCGAATGATGAAGATAGTGCGTCAGAATGAACTAGCCGAAAAGAAGGACGATTCAGTGATGCGCAGGGCCCAATTATGTTTGAGAAACTGTCAGAAGCCCTGGAAAATCTCTGCCAACCCTCCTTTCGTGAAGGTATATCTACAATAGTTCGGTGTTCTGCTACTATCTGACTTTTTGCTAGTTGGATATTATGAACCTCGTGATGGGGAAGTGGAATCCGAGAAGAAAGGACAACACCACCCAGAGCCTCACATCTCTGTATCGTTTCCTTTTACAGCAGGTAACTGTCGTAATTGTAGTATTAGGCTGGAAACTAAGTTTTGCAACTGGTTTCATAACTTCACTCTCTTTGGATATGGCGCACTCAAACTTTGGCATTATGTAGAAGGCAATGTGAGCTATAAGTGAGCACAAATTGTTTAAGTTTTGAACACGAAAAAGAAAGGTTTCAGGCGTTTTATGAAAACTAGTAAAATTTGAGAATTTTTGGGGTTTCGGGCTAAAATGAAGCCTTTAACACCTTAGACTATGCGCAGAAATCCGGATTTGTCTAAAAATTATTGGTGGAGGTTGACTCCTTTGGCCTAGTAAGAAAGAAACAAAATTTAGGGGCATGTCGAGATTTGGCGTCCTCATAAAGTCGAACGAGTCGATGTACGCAAGAGCTGCTGGGGACGACCGTCAATGACTAAAGAGTCCAAAGCTCAAATTCCGCCGAGACTTTACATAGTAAGGTTATTTGACCTGCCAAACGCGGATATCATATTCATTTGTTAAATCAACGCCGTTTTCCCTGTTTAGGGTGAGAACCCCATATCGTAACCTACAGTAATCCTATAAAAAAGCCCTTATCACACAATTTCACTATCGTTTTCGTGATCAGCATGTCGGATAACACCCCTATGCCAAGTTTCAGCCAAATCCGTCAAACTTTGAATTTTTCGCCTTCATACCATACACCTACCGTAACCCTTACTGCGACATCAGAATTTGGTAGGACAGCGGCTGCGCTTGTAGCTTACGTAGTAACCAACACAGTGGCAAAATTTGAGTGCGCCATGTTGAGTAAGAAGGAAGTTATGAGACTAGTTGCAAAACTTAGTTTCCAACGTAATAAATGGTTATATGAAACGCAATTTATATATTTTTTTAGATCACCAGCCCCCCTCAGCGAATTTAAGAATATTCGCTGAGGCTGAATGGAAGAAGCGGCAGAGACGCCAAACTCAAAAACCTCCCCGATGAGATTGAAACCACCTTGATCGGTATGCGGCTTTTCGGATAAGGAAGTCTTCTACTTTTTTTGTTCAGATTTTGCTGACGATATGATGGGATACGGGTACGACGAACTGCTACCAGGCGCGGTTGTGGATTTTGAAAACTCGGAGTAAGTAGCGTATTCGTATCATTTCGTCCATGTTGTCTTTTCATCAAGTTTTATTCATTGCAGATTTTACGCTAGTCTTGGCACAGACGAAGCCGAAAGAAAGCAAAATTTTGATCAGGCTTCGCGTGAGAAAATGCGGTGGCGTCCACAGCTCTTTAAGGCCCTGCAATTCGCACTGTGCGTAGTCAATTCTTACAGGTTATAACGCAGCCTTAGTTGCTAATATATCAATTTCAGACAAGATATTAGGTTCTATACGTACAAGGAAAGCGAGTCGAAATGGATACCGCATAAGGTAAAATTGTTTGCTGTGACTACCTATTCATTGCTGATGAGTGAAGTTCTGCGATAGCAATATTTTTGACTTATATATTTTTATTGCATGTACATGATGCCATTCCGTTACATATGTATTTGATTGTACACATTTGATCCACATTCTCATCATAAAGTGTCTTTTAAAGCTTTAATTACATAATTAATAAAGGTTTGTTGAAGTTGTCCAGTCATTTTTCTGCAGAAATAAAGTTTTAAAAGGTTTAGTCCGCTGGAAGTTTAGCGGTTCAAATATTGGTGCGCGGGTCAATGATTAGAACGAAGCTGCGAAAATGCTGACCATTCGCGTGCCAAAATAGCAGCCATCCGCGTGCAAGAAATCGCAGCCGCTCGCGCGCTTAAAATCGCAGCCATCCGCGGACGATCATGCAGCGGCGCGGGAGTCAATAGCGCGCCATCCGCAGACTGGATGTCGCGCCACCTTGCAATTGCGCGCGCGCTGCACGCACCGAGTGTCTGAGCAGTGGAGGTTCGAGAGATGTTTACGAGGCGGGGGGGGGGGGGGAAAGGGGAGGGAAAGGGGAGGGGGGAAAGGAGTTCTTTGTGTGAGGGGGCATGGCTCACGCCGCGCCGTGAAAAAATTTCACGGAGTTAATTTGAATGTTCGAGAACTTCAAGAAACTATCATTAGTAGCAAAAAGTCACTTGCGCAATTTTCACTCATTCCTGTAAACTTGTCCTTCGAAGGACGATCACAAATTCTTAAAAGTTCAGTGAATGACTGAACTTGAATGAAGTGAAGACTTCAAATCTTTATACTGAATTTTGGTTTCACATTTCATTCAGTATAAATTCAGTATAAAGATTTGAAGTCTTTGCTTTGCCGGTCTAATTGTAAGTGCCGCGCAATTGGAGCGCGCTTTCCAATTTTCACATTGCCATACAGAGATCATTTTGGGCTAGAGTAAGTGAAGGATTTGTTAGTTTTGGAACAGGATTTGTACTTATAGTAAAATTATCGATTGAGATCTCATTTATGTAAAGAAATCTAAATAATTATGTGAGAAAAAGCAGGGAGCACCCCAGGTTGCTCACAGGTTGCGCGGGGGCAACCTAAATTGGAAAATCTCTTACCATTTTCCAAACTCACATAAGTTTTTCATAAATTTTCATACAATTCCTGCTCTCCCTATTGCTTCACTATAGACCAAATTTCGTGCCGTATCGTTACTTGTGCGTTGCAAACGGACTTAATTTGTTATTTTCAACATATCAAAACTCCGTTCTGAGTTCCCGCGCGCTGGCGACTTGTTCTTTGGAGCACAAAATCGTAGGTTTTACTAGAGTTTGAGTCATTGAAGCACGTCAAGAGCGAGAAAAAGCTGAACGGATGGAATCCAAGGCACGTGTTTACTTATAATACCGCTCGTTATTTGTTTGTGTACTTGTTCGCTTGTTTACTTATTTCAACTTTCCAAAGCCAGCAAACATCCGTAATGTGAAGCAAAGTCTAGCTCTTCGAAGCAGATTTCGGATTCTATGACTTCTTCAATAGATTTGATAATAAATTTTTTGCGATGTCATTATTCTTAACAAATTGAAGCCTGGAATGAATTTGCAATCATGAAAACCATCAGAGTTCGACCTTTTAGCAGTGGGGGTATTACATGTACACCTTTTTGCAGTGGATTCAAGTATTTTTACAGCAAAACTACTTTTTACAGCCTTTGTGGCGTTATCACACAAATTCACTGAACTTTTAAGAATTTGTGATCGTCCTTCGAAGGACAAGTTTACAGGAATGAGTGAAAATTGCGCAAGTGACTTTTTGCTACTAATGATAGTTTCTTGAAGTTCTCGAACATTCAAATTAACTCCGTGAAATTTTTTCACGGCGCGGCTTGAGCCATGCCCCCTCACACAAAGAACTCCTTTCCCCCCTCCCCTTTCCCTCCCCTTCCCCCCCCCCCCCCCGCCTCGTAAACATCTCTCGAACCTCCACTGAGTACTCTGCGTTGATACCACTGCTT